ACCTTTAATGATAAGCTCCACGCGAGCGCTCATCTGTGAACGCTCCCTGCTGTCGGCTTCTGGGACAGCCAATCACATGTGGCGCAAACTCCGCGAGAACGCGGGGGGGGGGCAATAACACGCCTTCAGTCGTAGGCTGACCTCTATCCGTCTGGTCATTTGCCTTCAGGGCAAACTGACAAAGGGCCTCACTAGAATGCCTACCGCAGTACCGCACTCCGGATGCCGTCCCACTAGGGAACGGACTGCATTCAGCAGAGAATCAAATACTTCCTACTTATTTTCCGGCTCTTTCAATGCAGAATAAGCTTTTATACGCAAAAATTCGAGGTCCAGATATAACATTGCTTTCTTCATCCCCGGAAGAGAAAGACGGGGTAATTTCTGAGACCAAGTTATATTTAAGCTGACGTTTCGAAAAACATTCTGACCTTCATCGTCAGAGCTCCGCATAAGGCCAATCCCTGCTCAGAACAGAGCAATAGGTTGGACGAAAAAGGGTACGCAGGGCCAACAGCCGTTAGCCTCTAGCGAAGAAGAAGACGCTGGAAACGCTCAGAAGACACGTGAACGATATGACACATCGCATGGAGGCGCCCGCGAGGGCGATAACAATTCAAAGAGCCACCAGCAATCGATCAACGTGTAAGCATTAGGCATATTTCTAACACGCGGTCAGACACACTCACTTGACGCCAGCAAGAGAACAGACACTACGTTCTGACGATGAAAGTGAGAGTGTTGACGAAACGTCAGCTTATATACAACTTGGTCTCAGAGGTTTTCCCTTCCTCCTCTTCCAGGGACGATGAAAGCAAGAATAAACAGTTCCTACCACTCTGGCCTACCATAACTTCTATTCGCCTAACGTACGGGTCCTGAAGACCGCAGCTGCTAGGGTAAACCTAAGTAATCTCGTTCAATCTACTAAAATAAACAGTTGTGTCAAGGTAGTTCAGACCATTGCACATTTCTGGTATTAAAAGCCTTTACAGACAGACATGGGAGATGAGATTTCCTGGCAGAATTGACATATACGATATATTTTTTTCAGGTAAAAGACCACAGCGTGAATTCAGATCAGTAACGTTTCGATCATGTCCCAGAACCAAAAATGGTAAACTTTTTGCGTTTGTCTAAACCACACTCCCGATCCTTGTTGTCGATGAAGTCTACTGTATGTATAACAGCAGGGAAGGGGGGGGGTGGGTTTTGCGTGAATTAGTTTATAGTGATAGCAAACTTGCACGGCATCCACAACACCAATCCCCTTCTCCTTCACCTGTCAGGAAGGAGTCAATAGGCGCGGAGGTGGGATGGGGCGCAGGTGACTGGCGCGGCGTTCGCCTTGCCTAGGGGTACAAACACACCCCTCCCCGCCGTGTGTGGCATTGGGTGTGCATGTGCACTGCCAGTAACGCCGACTATGTCCGGATCTGACCACCGTGTTGGCCCAATGCATCTACCGCCCAATCTGCCACAACAAAACTGTTCATCTGACTACAAATTACAGACTACTTCAGACTTAGAAGCATCGCTGAGCAATAGAAGCTGTGTAATGCAGCTGCAGAATCATCGCTGACTTACGTACTAGGGCTCTCAGCAAACGCATATGTTGGGAACACGTCTCCACCAATGTCCTATTAAAGTATGCTACCAGTTATAGTTTTTTGTAGAATTGGTGGTGAAAGTTTATTTTAGGTTGCATAATTGTTTAAATAATCTAGTATTTCGCAACATAACAGCGCACCATAAATATTTTATATAGAGTTTATAATTATAGTTTTTCCGTTCAGCTTTAGATTTATTTTCAGGTTATTATTTTTTTAAAGTTTATTTTACTTAAATATATATTTTTAGTTTACTTAGTTTAGTTTATTTTAGTTTACCTTCGTTGAGGTAGATTTTTGTTTATTTTTAGTTTCAGATTTATTAGCCACATGCGGTTACTTTTGGAGTTGAAATCTTTATTAGTTTACTTTATGCCAGTTTAGTTAATTTAGTTTGCCTATATTTTAATACAGTTTTTCGAGTAGTTTTTTAGTTCATTATTATAGTTCAGTATAGTTCAGTATATTTAGGGTAGTAGGCAATGCCTTTGA